CCCCGGAGCTCCCCCCCTGCCCGATGAGTGGCTGCCCTTGGGTGGTGTTTAGGAACAAGCCCCGTTTCAAGCCTTCATCGAAAGGCCAGTAGGAACCATGAGGGTTGGTGCTGCTGATTCCAGGATCCTGGGGATGGAGCAGAGGGTTAGCGCCTTTCCTGGCAGACCGTAACCCCTTCCCCCTGCTAGGCCAGTGTGATTCAGAGATGAGAACCCAGACGGGGTCAGCCAGAGCCCACACACGGTGGCTGTTTCCCCCAAGGGGAACAGAAACTTGCTTCAACACTTCCAGGCATGTTTTCTAAAATGCCACTTCTGCAAGTCCCCAGGACCCGTTAGGGTGTTTTGGGGAGGGGGGGACAAATATAAGAAATCTTGCGCTTATGCAAGAAACATCGGGTCACGGCCAGGCTTGGGCTACAATGAGGAGTTCAACGGGGAGGGAACATTTACCTCCTCAGGACTCCCTGGTCCTCACTGCCCCCAGCAAGCAGAACCTGCACCCCCTTTCCTTGCAGAGGGAAGAAGGGAGATCACAGCTGGGTCACGAGATCCCAGCACTCATAGGGATGTGGGGGCACCCGAGCCAAGCACCCACGAGTTAAACAGCCTGAGCCAGAGTTCCTCCATTCTTTCGCCCATAGGGGACAGGGGCATCCTTGTACTCCCGCAGAGAGGAGCACAGCACGAGAACCTGGCCTGCGTCTCTGCTGTCCCTGCATTAGGGGGTTTCCAGTGGCAGCTTACAGCTGCTTGCCCAGCACTGGGGACCAACCCCGGATAAAAATCCCCAGGGCTGGGGATGGTCAGCTGGGGCCGTGAGCATCCCTTAGGCCTCTGCCTTGCATCCCAGCTCTGCAGCAAAGACAGCACAGGGGGGATAGGAAGGGGTACCAAGATCATAACGTAGCGCTGCCCGTGTTTGTGGAGGTCTTCCACCAGCGAGGGGAGGGAGGTGAACTTCCAGGGATCGAAGGTGAAGTCCCGGTACCCGTCCATGTAATCAATGTCGTTCCACTGTGCATCCTGCAGGACAGAGGCTCAGGGATGGGTGACAGAGTCCGGACCCCACCTCCATGCATCTGGGGGGTTACCTGGGGGATCTGGTAGTTCCTCATGGCTCTCACAGTCTGCCAGGTCTCATTGCTGGATCCGTAGCCCCAGCGGCAGAGGTGGAAGCCAAGCGCCCAGAGGGGTGGCATGGCCGGGAAACCTGCAGTGAGAGCAGGAGCACAGATGGGGTGTCCCGAGATGACAGCAGCATCTCAAAAGGATGGGAGAGGAAGGGGAGAAGGGGGAAAGGAGGTGACTGCTGACCCCTGACGTGTTGGAAGGGATGGGGACGGGATGGCTGGGAACTGCTGACCCCTCCTCAGCTGGGAGGGCTGGGGATGGTGGTGAAGCTGAGGTGAGAGAGGGATGGTGGTGCAGGGAAGGTGCCCGCAGATGGCCACATAGGGGTGCACGCCCTTACCTATCACCTGCTGGTACTGCTGGATGACCATGTTGGGATCGGGCCCCAGGAAGATGTAAAAGTCCAGCACCCCCCCAATGGTCCTCCAGGTCAGGCCCGGAGCGGGCTGCAGGGCCACCTCTTTGCAGGAGAGGGTAGAGAAAAAGACAGTGAGAACTGGGGAGCAACCCCCAGACCCCAACCACCATGGCAGAGACCAGGCAGCACCACAGGCAATGCTCAGCCTCCGGCAGGGGAACGGAGGAACCCCTGCCTTGTGCTCAGTGGATACTAAACAAGCATCTGGCGGCTTAAATCATTGCAGCCCAGGGAGATTGCTGGTTTACACAGGGAGAAAGCTCACCGTCCTCAAAATCTGCTCCTTAAGCCCAAAGCTGCGCCGTTCTCTTGGCTTCCACTTAAAGACCAAGCACATGCAGGGCTTTTCCTCACATCCTCCCCCCAAATCCCCTCCTACATGAATTGAGAGCTACTTGTACAAGCAAGCGTGTGGGAGCAAGGGCTTTCCTGGGAAAAGCTTTTCACACGAATGAGCCCTCAAACCTCAGCTCAGGTGGTAGCATCTCCTGCGAGCTCCTCCTCTGGAGCATCGCTGCAACCAAGCTGAGCGCAGCTGGAGCTACAAGAGCCCCAGCGTGCAGAGCATTGGCCCAGCTGGCTGCAAGCAGCGGCTGCCGGGAGGGACGGGTGGTCGCCCGTGCCATCCACAACACGGCAGGAACCCGTGGGAGCTGCTGCGTTATCAGCTGGCACACACGGGCGGCTGCGCTGGCAGAGCACAGCTGGGAAGAGCACGGGTGGCAGACAGCATCCCCGGCTGCGCCCCAGCCCTGCCACGCTGCTGGGCCTGGGGGCAAGGCCATTTTGGGTGGAGAGGGAACGGGCACGGACCCGCACATGAGGGACTTGCATTTCTGATGGCAACTTGGCAGCTGGGCATGTGGTTAAACTGCTCGGCAGTTGCTAAAGAGCCTCACTGTAGCCAGGAAACAGATGGCTACGCTCAATAACGGAGCCATCAAACCACATCTTTCCCGTTTATGGCTTCCTCTCACCCCAAGTTCCCGAACCGGCCGCTCTGGCAGCTCCCATCTGTTCCCAGCTGCTGGGTCATCCTCCAGGGACAAGCCAGCTGGGATCCCCTTGGACACCTACCCATCGCGTTGCTGTTGAGAAGGAAAACGCCATGAGCATCTCCGCCCTCCTCCATCAGCAGGTAGAAGGGGTGAGCTCCATAGAGGTTGAATGATTCCTGCAAAGAGGAGATGCCGGGTGAGAGAGCAGCTCCCGGGCAAAGCGCGAGAACCCCGCGTCACTGGGGGTGAATAAATGGTCCTGAGCTGCATCTGCTGCCACCACCTAACTAGGCATCTGCCATCCCCCGTGGAGGACAAGAATAGCAATGAGGACACTTTCATAGCTGGCACTGAAGGCCATGGGAGGCTGCTTCTTCCTTGCAGCTCAGGGGCTGCTACTGAGCTGGGCTGGGCGAGGGGGAAACCTTCTGCCTTGCTGCAACCTGTTGCACGAGCAGCAGGGTGGGGTGGAAAACACCCAGAGCCCTCGGAGTGCCAAGAGAATTTTGCAATTGCTCTGAAATCCTCCCCAGCACATATCTGCCCATTGGCCTCGACCACCCCCTGCCTCTCCCAGTGCTCCTGCCCACCCCCCTGCCATGTTTTCCCAGGGCTTGTCCAATGCACTGGAGAGTAGTAGCCCCATCTTTGCTCCCCACACCCCCGCGGGGAGGGGGGAGATGGTACCGTGGGAGCGACGTCACGTGCCCACAGTGTGAGGGTGCTCCAGTCCAGGCTGTGCAGTAGGGTGCCACGGTGCTCCCCCAGGCCATAGAGGAACCTGGACGGGAGCAATGTGGCTATCTGGAGAAACTGGTCAGCAAAAATCAAGGGGGCCACGGTGGTGTTGAGCCTGCCGGGGTGACACCGAGGGAGAGAGAGTCAAGAGGGGATGCTGGGATCCATCTGGATCCATTTGCCCACCACCAACCAACCCTTTCCCTCTCCAAGCGTTCCAAAGGCCAGCATGGCAGTGTATGTCCTACCCTGCATCCAGCCCCAACACCTTGGCCCAGGTGCCAAATTTCAGTCTGGCTGGATGCAAGGCACAGCCCGAGCCTGAACCAGCCTGACCCAGCGCGGCGCAGCCCTGCCTTTGACACCAGAAGTTTCCGCCCAGGTTATTATTAACCACCGAGGCGATGCGGCGGTAGGGTTTCTCAGCCTGTCATCACTGATAAGCAGCTCCCAAGTAAAGTATGGACCACAGGCACCAGCAAATGGGAAAGAGGACGAAAGGATGGGTTCTCAAAACACCCCGGCTGTATAGCGACCAGACGTTGGTGCTCAAAGCCATGGAGGTGACTGAAAGCAGTGCAGCAAAGCCACCCGCAGTCCTGTTCCACGGTGAGCCTGGAGTGTGGGTGTCCCTATAGCTTGGACAGTCAGGGAAACACAAAAGCAGGGTGAAACAAGCAAAGCCACAACCCTTTGGTGGCCCTTTCCCTGAGCTACCAGGTCCCTTACTGGTGACGTGCCGGGGACCTGCACAATGTTTGGCAGCTGTAGGACCTGGTGAGGAATTAGGGCACTGGGAGGTTTTTGTAGAGGTGCTGATCCCACCCAGTGCTTCCACAGCCACAGCAAGCACCTGGCCAGCCCATGGGGCTGGGGAGCCACGTGCTGCTGCATCCCCATGTGAGCACTACTGGAAGCGTGCTGGAGCCTGCCTAGAGCGGGATAAACCTTCCCGCCCACCCACTGCGGGATGCGTAAGAAGTGGGTTCTTACAGCACTGTCCCTGTCGCCCTGCGCCGCAGCAGCACCCCAAAGGGGTCCCAGGAGAAGTCCAGGCTGTAGATGGGGTTTTCTGCTCTCTTCGTTGCCCGGGGAACGTCGAGAGGAACCTCGTACCGCGGGTTGGCTGCATCTGTTATCTGCAAAAGGGAGAAAACATGCTTTAAAGATCAGCAAAGCAAGAGGGCAAAGGGTTGGAGATGCTCATTGGGGCCACATACAGCCATGCCTGGAGCACAGCAGCTTCCAGACTCAATCTGAGCAGGGGATGGTCACCTATGGGATGGAGGGTTCAGGGGTGCAGGAGCACGGTCACGAGCTCTGGAGAGCAGCCAGTGGGGAGCTCACCTTGATGTGCAACCGTGTGTCTGTCTCAAACTCCACATCCAGCCTCAGCATCATGATGTCCCGGGGGTAATAGGCCTTCGTTCTCCTCACTAGCAGCCCCACCATGCCCAGCGCTGTCTGGTTGAGGCTCTCCAGGGTGTAGCTGGGGAAATCGGGGGGGTAGAAGCACCAGGGCACCCCCCGCTTGCCCTGCGCCGGCAGGGAGCTCTCAATGAAGCAGCACCCCCGGCTTTCGCAGAGCTCCTGGGTCACCACCACACGCCGCTCCGGATAGCAGTCAAAGCGGTGGCTTTCGGGTACCAGGAGACATTTGGGGGGCAGCGCAGGTCCAGGCCAGCCCCCCGATACTTGCCGCAGCACCCAGACGGTGATGGTGCTCAGCAGCACGGCAGCCACCAGCAGCCCGCTGCCCACCCACCATGGGGCCAGCTTCCCACGGCCGGCGGGCATCGGGGCAGCCCCTTCCTCCTCCACCTGGCATGCTGCTGGCTCCGTTGTCAGCTTCTGGTACGACTTCACCATCCTGGCGCTGGAGCAAGGGGGAGATGGAGGCAGGTGTGAAGGGGTCGGAGGGGGAGAGCTCTGCTGAGCCTTGAGGACAGCTTCCCCACTCCCGATGCCCACGGTTCAGGCAGAGCCTGATTGCCTCTGCCTGCCTTGGCACCTTGTACCGTGATGTCTGTGCCCTCAGCTAAGATGCACGCGGCAAACTCGGCAAAGGATGACTTTGCCAGGCTCGGGTGGTCCTGACTCTGCTGGAGTGTGGAGATGTTGCCACACAACTCTCTGGCAGCCCCAAGGGACAAAGCGCCATCCGCCTGAACCCCACCTGCTCTCAGGGGCTGGCAGAGCAGCCCCTCAAGGAGTTTTTTCCCAGGTCTGAATTTATGGGCTGCAGTGTTTCTGGAAGCTGCAAGCAAAACCGAGCTCCCTCTGCCCATCAGAGCAGAGCTGTGGTGCCAGGAACTGCGGCCCTGAGGTGCAGAGCATCCTCTACTCCAAGCATCCTCTGCTCCGCACCCAAGCATCCTCTGCCAGTGCCCAAAGCCAGAGGTTTTAGCCCCACAGAGGGCTGAGCAAGGGATGGCAGGGAATATGCTGTCAGTCTTTGCCTCCCACTGATAAAATCTGATTTTAACAACCTCTCAGGCAAACATCTCCCAGCCTGTAAGCAAAGGAGACCCCCAGGCTCCTGCTGAGCTCAAGGAGCAATCTCAGCACCTCAAATAAGAGACACAACTTTCTTCTTGCCATCTCCTGCCCAAGCCATAGGCACTCAGACCCCGCTCACCTCCGCCCTGCAACCTGCAAAAGCTCAGCAAAACGCCTCTCCCCCAAAAGCAGATTTTATTCCCCGGCAGCCCTCCCCCCGGCTCCGGGATGGCCCAACCCGCCGGGGCCTGAGCGGCAGCGCGGGCC